CCTCTGAGGATCTTGGGCACGCACGCACATGCGCTTGGCGTGAGTTTAAGCCACTGGGTCCAGGACTCAAGCCGTGGTCGGCTACATGGGAGTTCAGTGACATAGCCATTATGCTAACTGCTGGTCCCTGGACACCCATTGTTAACCAAAGGCCTCTGGCTGAAAGGGTGCTACTGGCTGAAAGCATTCTTTACGGACTTCTGGTCCCCAATAGAACAGTGTGTCTCAATGACCAATGTCCTAACCCCTCCTCTGTCAGTTTAACAAAAGAAGGGCTTCTCAAACCTTAACGTTCCATGTCTGTATTGCCATTTTAATAGGGAATATATAAAAACACAAAGGCAACGTGAGCTACTGGCTACTTCGAGCCAGTTCTTTAACTCCCAACACACGCACGCACGCACTCTCTGGTATTAAGCTTTCTTTGGTACAGTGCTTCTTCACACAAGCATCTTTCACTATTGGGAACAAAAGCATGGCGAAGGTGGAGTTGGTGGAGTGAGCTGCCCGGTCGGAGGCCTCTGCTCTGCAGTGATTTCCGCTGGGTTCTGTTTAGGCTCTGGGACACTGGCCATCTTCCACCCCAAGGCGTGCGATTGCCTGTGGGGCTGACTGTGAGGCAGCTCACTGTTCTCTGGCAAGCTCAAATGTCAGTCGGGTGGCAGCCAGAGGGGGCGGCCTTTTGAAGCCACTAGGAGTGACAGCTAGGATAGCAAAGGTGGCTCTGGCTGAGAGGCACTGCATGGCCATAACCGAGGTTGAGATGGAGTATTGCACACACATTCCTCCACCCCACAGCCTTACTGATGACTCTAAAGGCCCACCATCATAGTCACTCTTGCTGGGGCGGCTGCCTTCCCTCTGCTCCTCTGCAGGAGACGGCCTCTGTCTTGGCCCAGACCAGACCTCAAACAGCTCCGGGCCAGTTACCGTGCCCCACACAACTGAGAGGACACAGCGAAGCTGATCTCCCTGGAGGGTTTATCAGGTGTCAGGTGCTGGGCCTCACTGGATCCACACAGAAACCTGTGCGGAGGCCATGCTGCTGACTCCGCCTTACAGAGGAGGAAACGGAGGCACAGAGCACTCACCTAGCAGGTCAGAGCAGGGGCAGGATGCAAATTGCTGTCCCACTCCATAGCATGTGCTGTGCCCCTGCTAAGCTGGCTGAGTTGGCAAGTGTGTTCGTGTCATACAGATTCGGCTCCACATAACGTCAGCTGACCTCTGGGTGTCAGCTCGTGAACCCCACACGCAGCATCCATGAGCAGCATCAAGAAGGACCATTGTCCCTGGGGTGAGTCCCATGTCTGGCCCCATGAGACCTTGACCAATGAGAAGTGGCTCTGCCCTGTCCTGGCACACCTGCAGGACTGGGGCTGGGGCTGGGTGCCTCCCAAGAAAGGCCTCACCTTCTTCCCATAGTTCCCAGCGTCTTTCTCTGTTCCTCAGCTCTCCCAGCCCTAATAAAGGCTCAACTGGAAAGCAAACAAAACTGATACGGACCCTTGAAAGCTGAATTCATGGGTAGAATGAATTCAAAGTAGCAGAAGGGCTACTTTGTCCCCACCATGAATGAGCGCCGGGTGCCACCCATCTGCGGCCATCTGGCCTGGCCAGCTCCTCACTCCTGAAAGCTAAGAACCCAAGGGCAGCTGATGTAATGCAGTGACAAACCTCCAGTGACCTGGCAGGGTGGCTGGGCCTTGGGACAGGCCTGTTTACACTAGTAGGGAACAATGACTTGCAACACTGATGAATAATGTGAAACAAATGCAAGGTCATGTAAACAATTCTTTTCCTCACTCCCAAATGACAAAGCCCCAACATTAAGCAGGCGGGAAGAGGGGGCTGCCCCTGCACCCTTTTCCACTGTGGTCCAAACACAGGCCCCATCCTACACTCATAGCTGGTGAATTTCTTTGGGTAGCCTGAGGCTGTT